TAAAGAATTTAGAATCTATCGGTTTGAATACTAGAAATTTCGGTTTACATTAATTGAGGTCAGGAGGTGCTACTTCGGCTAGTAATCAAGGAGTTTGTGAAAGATTGTTGCAAAAACATGGTTGATGGCAGTCTGTATTTCAGCTGTCCACCAAGCGTATCATTCCGTAAGACTGGTCAATATATAATGTGTATGTACACGGGTATTTGACCATTCGAGGTACTATAGGTTCACTACACACAGACGCCCATCCATCCCGCCCTCGTTTTGAGATTATACTTAAGATTGTATATGTCATGCTGGACTTTGTAATGTCACAACAATGTTAAAACAAAATGTATACTTTAAGGTTAATCAACGGTATTGATTAGTGTTTATTTAATATGGAAATTATCTTTGTTTTGTCTTTTTCAGAATAGACAATTTTTTGTTGTCTTTTGATAACGTTGCAAGGATGGATGCTAAGTTTGAGTGAGTTTTGTGGTTCTGACTTTGAGGTAACACATTTGTGTGTATTAAGACATATTATTCCTTACAGTGCACTGGAATTACACGGAACCACAATTTTTGGAATGTTCGGATCGACGACATGGGACTTTTATATGAGCATATGTTATTATTGTTAAGTGCAGATCCACTCTTCACTAGTTTAAAGTGATTTTTTTCAAGTGTCGTCGATGTGTATGAATGTATATTTATTTAATTGATAAATTAAAGTGAACCTGTAGTAGCCACTCCTACATTGTCTTTCTTTTTTATATTTTATCCATGTAGGATATTAATTATGGAGTTAAATGATAAATTATTTATGTTTGGCTGAATGCAATGAAAGAAAACATAAGCAGTATTCTACAACATCATAATATGTCAATATAATAAATTGCTAAAAATGAATTGCAACAATTCCCACACACATATTTTGTGAAAAAAATGTGAAAAACTAGAGGATGCTTTTGTAAAAAAGCGCATGCCTCCCCCACTGCTGAGAATAACTGTGAATGGAAACAGGAATGGAAATGGAGATAAGATAATGTAAATACCCGGTAGTCACTTCAATGAAGGCTGTCTATGGATGGTTTCTATTGTTAAGGTTGTATGAGAAGATGCTTCCTAAACTGTTTGTTTTTAACCAGGTATTCAATTTTGAAAATCCTGGTTATTCAATCAGCGTATGGCAGGCGGGCGTCAAACGAAATTGCACTTGATGGTCATATCATATATAGTTTCACAAATGAAATTAAATGAAATTGTGTCTGCTCCATAATTCTTCAAACCTTTAAAGGATTTTGATGATACTTGAATGTATACGAGAGTGAACATGCAGATGTAGTGACGCCCGGCACCACCACTAGGAGGCGAACCTAAGAAGGAATAATGGGAATAGAACTGTAACTTTTTATTCCTTCCCTTTTTCAAACCATGTACATGTAAATCACATAACTTATAAGTGAAAGCAGTACATAAAGTAATAGATTTGATGTTGATTATTTAAACCACAATAACTAATAGTCCAATACTGACAGTTTTTAAGTTGTAACGCAATACCAATAAATATGTACATAGTCTGAATGGTGCCATGCATGTATGTATACTATTAGTAATAGTTAACAAGAATAGAAAGTGATATACTATATACTTACATATTGCATGAAAACTCACTCGCTAGTAGGAATTTGTAGTTATCATCAGCAAACAAAACAATGCGTGTAATACACCTTGCTGTGACCATGTAGCATTGAACGCGCAGCGGGGAAGAAATGACCGCATAAGGGTGGAAAGATCAAAAAAGAACAGAGTATATAAAACCAGACAACTGATATATCACTGATATATCAATAATAGTTAAATGTCCTCACTGATAAGAACTCTAGTTATCATCCGGAAATGAGAAAATGACCAATGGTCACTGTGACCTTAACCTTTGACCTACTGACCCCATAAACAAGAGGGATCATCTGCTCAATAAGACCAATCATCCTATGAAGTTTGAGGGTTGTAGGTCTAAAGGAACTCTAGATATCATCCGGAAAGGAGAAATTAACCAACGGTCGCTGTGACCTTGACCTTTGACCTACTGACCATTAAAACAATAGGGATCATTTGATTAATAAGACCAATCATCCTATGAAGTTTGAGGGTTGTAGGTCAAAAGGAACTCTAGTTATCATCCGGAAACGAGAAATTGACCAACGGTCACTGTGACCTTGACCTTTGACCTACTGACCCCAAAAACAATAGGGATCATCTGCTCTATAAGACCAATCATCCTATGAAGTTTGAGGGCTGTAGGTCAAAAGGAACTCTAGTTATCATCCGGAAACGAGAAATTGACCAACGGTCACTGTGACCTTGACCTTTGAACTACTGACCCCAAAAACAATAGGGATCATCTGCTCAATAAGACCAATCATCCTATGAAGTTTGAGGTCTGTAGGTCTAAAGGAACTCTAGTTATCATCCGGAAACGAGAAATTGACCAACGGTCAGTGTGACCTTGACCTTTGACCTACTGACCCCAAAACAATAGGGATCATCAGCTCTATAAGACCAATCATCCTATGAAGTTTGAGGGCTGTAGGTCAAAAGGAACTCTAGTTATCGTCCGGAAACGAAGAATGGACGGACGGACTGACGGACTGACGGACGGACGGACTGACGGACGGACAGGGCAAAAACAATATTTCTCCCCCCGAGGTGGGGGAGACATAATTATTATTCAGCTTTGTATTATTATAATATTGAAATATTTAAGGATGTCCTGTCAGAGTGATTGAGGACGTTGACTTCAAACCACTTGCCCCTCAACACTGTTGTTTGAATCTCAGCAGAAAGAACTTTGGATTATTTCATGTTAGGAAGCTATCCACCTAGCTAACTGAATTTTGGTGGTACTACACAAGTACCCATTCATGCCTGAGTTAATGTACAGAAAGGCACCTTCCTCCACTAATTAAGCTTGAAAGTCACCATATGATTTGACCTTTACTGTGTTGGTGTGATATAAAACCCAATCAAATAAAAAAGATGTTGAAATATTTAAATGAAATCAATGATAGTATGAAATGTGAATGTTTGAAAATGTTCTTTGGCCCAATAATACACGAAATGCAAATCAAATATGATTTGTATAGAGTCATATATTTAAGAAATGAATGTTTTTATAATTTTCCGGACAGTAAAATTTTGGAACTTAGAAACATTCAAACTTATATGTTCAACAGAGGTGGATGCAAATCCAATCAGGTATTTATGAATAATTTCATTCAAAATAAGTAATATTCATGCATTTAATAGTTGTATGTTTTGTTTATTTTTCAAGTTGCGCTAGTAAAATTGAACTAGAGAAGTTGTTGAACAGAATATGTAAAATTCATCCTATCTAGAAAACTGTGCTGTTCACAATCATGTCACACAAGTGTTGTTGTTTCGAAAACTTAATCTTGATAGAAATTATTGAAATGAAATAAACTAACAGCTATGTTATTTATTTTAATCCAAATTTAGTTTGTTTGTGTAGGACGCTATTAGCTTAAAGACACACTCTTGAATCAGATCCTGAAATAAACTAGTACTGAGTGATAAGTTATCAGTTTTCTTGCTCAATGAAACAATGGCTTACCCTTTACAGGATTCTTTTCTCAGCAACTACTTATTACAGCCTCTTGATATTTGGCATACAGCATTGATACGTGGTCGCATACTTTGGGATTCGATTTCAGGTCTGTTGCTTATCCACTTCCTGTTTACCGACTTAGTTAAATTTTTGACATTAATGGTCAATGGTAGGAAATGTGTGTAACAGTTTTCTCAGCAACTACTTATCATAGCCTCTTGATATTTGGCATACAGCATTGACACATAGTCCATACTGTGGGATTCAGTTTTAGGTCTGTTGCTCATCCACTTCCTGTTTACCAACTTAGTTAAATTTTGGACATTTAAATGGTCAATGGTAGGAAATTTTCTTAATAGTTTTCTCAGCAACTACTTATCACAGTCTCTTGATATTTGGCATACAGCATTGACACGTGGTCCCATATCGTGAGATTCGATTTTATATCTATTGCTCATCCACATTCTGTTTACCGACTTAGTTAAATTTTCGACATTGATGGACAATGGTTAAATTTTCGACATTGATGATCAAAGGCAAGTTTTTTTCGTAACACCACATCATTATGATATTTGGTATACAAATGCAACCCGGCCTTTTTTGTCTTTGACCTATTTTTTAATTCTTGGTTTAGTTTGAGGGGAAATGGGTTGAAACTTCACTGATTTTTGAGATCATAAAAGAAAATCATTTTCCAAGGCCCACACTCTAATATGGATTTTGACTGAATTATGGATGGCCGTTTTGAACAGACATAACTTTTTTTTTCTTACTAAATACATGTACTATAATTATAAATTAATTTTAACAAATGAATGTACATTAATGAGTAAATAGCTATATCTGATTAAATATTTTATGAAAATTTAAAAAAAGGTAAAAATAGGTTGTCTTCATAATGTTAGGTATGCTTCTTGAAAGAGTTGTCTCTTAACTTGCATAAATATGGTACATTAATTTCTTCTTGTCCAAAGGATTACAGCATTTAAAATGAATATTGTAACACATTCACTTTAGTAAATCGGCTATTTATCAGTCTAATAAATCAACTGTTTATAAAAAATAATTTCAAACAGTAAATTGGTTACTTATAGTGTTTATTAGGAAACATTTACTGAATTAAAATGGTCAAATGGCTGCGCTGGTTTTGACCAATTTAATTTTGTAAATGCTTACTAATAAACATAAACCTATACTAAATGTACAAGAATAAAATATTCTACTCCTGTTGACAGTAGGTTTGGGGTTAATTTCATGCATGCACTGACTTTCAATAAAATATATTGACATAAATGTTTTTCATTCTGTGTCTTAATTTATGTAATCATTTAAATCATAATATAAATAAATATAACAAATTTTAATTACTAGTAACACACATCAAAAATATAGCTTGTATCACTTATGCAACAACCGTCTAATTTAATCAATCATATTGATTATGTGGAATCAATATCACAAACATTAAATTAAATAATAAATAATACAAAATACACAAAATATACATACAAATGATGATAAAGTCACATATTACATACACTTCATATAAATTTAAGAGTAATTTTAAACCACAGGGGAGTCCCTTTATCAAATCCTTTTATTCGATTAATAAACAAAAATATTTCTTTATCAACATATAAACAAATAAAAAAGCATCATTATAGCTTAATAAACAAAACAGGAGGATGGGCTGGGAAACGTTATGTATGTTACTTCTATGCAATAGAAAAGCGAAGACTTTAAATGAAGAAAAAAATCATATAAATGATTATACATAGTATAAAATACTATACATGTATGGATTATCTGGAAAAATCATCAACAAATTATTTATTACATGTAAATTGATTTATGAATAAGAAATGTTTCTTTATCTTTTGACAATTCAAAATGAACATCAAACAAAATTAAAAAATAAACAAAACAGACGGTTTGACTAATGGAAATGTAATGTTTGTCATTTCTCCGCAAAGCAAAGACTTTGAATGAAATCTTTCAACATATTAACAAATCAAATAAACATCATTATAGCTACTTATAAACAAAACAGGTGGATGGGTTGGGAAACATTATGTATGTAACTTCTATGCAATAGAAAAGCGAAGACTTTAAATGAAGAAAATATAATGATTTTTAATATTATAAAATACTATGCATGTATGGATGATCTGTGCATTAACTGAATACAACGAATAATTCAGCATTAAAGGCTGATAGTTGATACTTAAACTAGATGTTTTAAACTTTAACTTATGATAAATATATCTTGATACATGTATATATGATAATTGTGTTTTGTTTCACATTGGCGAAATATTAACCTACAGTTTCATTGGACATTGATTCAACATTGTAAGATAATTTATTCATTCATTACATTAACATGTACAGCAAATAGTAAACAACTTTTAGTCCTGCTATTGATAGTGTTATACAATATGGTGGCATTACATTTCACAAAATTATGCAGTCTTGTTCTTTTCACATTTCATGTTTGTAGATTCTGAATTAAAACGTTCCTTCAGTTAGTTTTTACTAAAGGTGATCCGCAGTCATTTATTGACCTGATCATATATCATACACTTCAATGGTGTTTTTTCCAGATCTGCATACATACATTTTAGACATTTGTTGGTTACAACATACAGACGAAATATTCCATTTTCCTCTGTCAGATTTTATAACCTCTCCCAGCAGCTCACCATCAGATGTAAACTGTAGAACATTATTGGAGTAAGATCCAGATACAAGCACACTTCCTACCTCAGTGACATAACAGCAACTGGCCCATTGTAATTCTCCACCATTGAATCTTGAAATAACCTTGCCTTTTTTGTCCAGTACTATCAGCCCACGATCCCTATCAGTAACATAAATCCGTTTAGCATCTTTGCTGACAGCTAGACTGTTTATGCACCGCAGCTGATCAGTACGAGTAAGTTGATTCTTGAGATGTGAGATAAATGATTGCTTAATTCTAAGCTGCTTAATCTTTCTTCCAGACAATGTATAGACATATACTTTTTTGGTATCATCTGATACATATAAATTATTGTTGGTGTACGCAAGACCACTACAAGAAAAATCAGTATTAATCTTGTTTGTTGTGCTCATTTGTCCTTCAACAGAAATGAAATGAACTTCTTTCTGTAATGGTAACGTTACTGCCACTTGTGTTGTGTTGATTGAACACACTTGCCATGGTGCTGCTGGTAGATCACAGTAGTCTATGATAGTGTTGTTGTTACTGTGGAACCGTTTTAGCTTCTTGTTTTTTCTATCAGCTAATATTACTGTACCATCCTTCAAACAGCATGCACTTCTGGAATAATTGTCTTCTTCATTAGACGTTGCAGTAACACAATATGATTGTTTCCCTTTTATCTGAAATAAAGTGCGAGGAGTCTTTGCAGGGTTCCCTTTTTTACCAAGTTTACCGAGGGCTTTATATTGTTGTAGCAATGTAAGAATTCTCTTTTCAGGTTGTAACTTTATGTCATCTCTAGTACGCTTGCTTTTGTTATCTTCTATACATTTGTTGGCAACATTTGCAGTATCTTCCCCAATCTTCACAAAAATAAATACTTCAGCGTGACTTGTGTTCTGGGATGCTAATTTATCATTAGCTGAAGTAACCCTGACCATATTAGCTTGTAGGTTTTTGAGATTGTTCTCAATCTTGTCTTCAAGGTGTTTAACCATATCTTCTATGTTACCTATAGCATTGTTCTCCAACTTGTCAAGTTGGTTGTTAATTTCTTGTCGAAATTTTCTGATATCTGCCAGTAACTCTGCCTTTCTTTTCAGCAGCCTTTGTTTATCTTGTTTGAATCTGGTAACTTGTTCTGCCATGGTCTTGGATATTTCCTTTAGTTTTGTTTGAATTTCTATTGAGGCTGATTGGTAAGTGTTATTTTGAATATATTCTGGAATGTAGCAAATGTCCTGGCATGACCTAAAAGATATTCAGAATGTTCATCATTTTTTTTTCTCCCACAAAGAAAGATTAGGAAGTTATATATAAGTAAGGGCATCTGTTAGTTTGTTGGTGAGTTTCATGGTTTCATGGCACTTACTAGAGTTACAAATAAAATATTGCTACAAACTTCATAGATAACAAACTTATATGGACAACTTGCTTCAGATTGCCATTGGACCCCCTATTATCTAGATCACTTTTACAAAAAAAGAAGAAAAAATGATTTCTAGACCTAAGAATAAGATACTGTGATCAAACTTGGCAAGAAGCAAGGTTCTGTAGAGATGTCACCTTGGGTTGCTTTTGACCCCCATCCCCCCTGAGGTCAAGGTCAAGATCACTGTTACTAGAAATAGAAAAATGGTTTTCTGATGAAAACTTGATGAGTTAGATACTGTTATCAAACTAAGTGTCTGGCAAGCTTTGTGGTGACTTTGCTTACGTTAAGATTGCTTTTGGAACCCTAGGGTCAATGCCACTGTTTTTAAAAATTGAAAAATGGTTTCTTGTCAATTTCTAGAGTAAGGAAGGAGATATCGTAATGAAACTTAGTATACAGCAAGCTTATGTTGAGACTTCACTTTGAATAGCTTTTTGTATCCAGGTGAATCTCTTTTACATGGCAGTAAATTGTAGTTTTTTGTTACACTTATGAAACATCATAAAATACAGCTCAAATTTAAATTTAGCTTCAGACCACTAAATCTCCCTAAATGATAGATCTTGTTTTCTTTAACACATTTGTTATGTTTTGAATTTTATAAAAACTATCCATAAAGTTACTGATAAATTATTAAAATTTACCTATGATCATCAGCCATACATGTAGAACAGCCAACACTATCGTGATTCTGGCAGTACATATCAATGAGTTTATGACTGTGTCTGTCACACATCTCTGTTGGTGCCTTTGGCAGACTTTTGCTTATTCCTGACTTAACCTGAGATTTATCCAACACCTTGTTACCAGCACATACAGGCACTTCTGGTGCCCTTGGGAGACCTTTAATGATTCCTGGTGTCACTAAAGATTTATCCAACATCTTGTGACCAGCACACACTGGCACTTGACTGTGAACTTGGACACATATTATACAGAAATAATCTTGGCAATCCAAACAGAATTTTACACCTTCGGTGTTTTTGCTTTTACTTTTGCAGATTGTACATAGTTCATCAAAAAATTCATCAGAAAGAATATCCGTATTTATTTGTCCATCTGTAGCCATCTTATAGATATACTTGTTCAAGCTAAGTTAGTTAGTTGATCTGTTCACATACATGCCAGGCCTTGTCTTGTATCATAATCAATTTTCAACATGATAATTTACTGTCACATATTCTGTCCAAGTCTTTACTTTTCAAATGTTTCCTAAACTGCTCATGTAATAATAAACTTATTTTTTATGAATATTGATCATATAAACTTGCTATGTACATCTCATATTACAATTGATTTCTTGATCAGATAAAATATTGATACAAAGGCCACATCATCTTACAGTTTGATAAAGTTTAAGGTACAAAGTTTAGCACAAAATGGACATCATTTCCAAACAATAGCTTAAACTATGATGATGTCATGAAGGTTTAAATATATTTACTTCTGACATTGATGGTTAAGGTCAAGTTGGGTTGAAGGTCAAATATAAGCATGTCAAATGATGAACACTGTTCAAGTGTATCATGCATCAACATATTGGCGTTATGACTTAAATATCAACAAAGTTTGTAAAAAGTTTAACTTGCACTTTCCAGTACCGTCCATGAACAGGCTCAATCAAACCGATTGCCGTGTTGGGCTTTCTTTAGGGATTCTGTATTTATCTATTTTATTGCCCCAAGGGCTTGGCCAATGTGACCCTGATATGATGGGTATGCCTTAACCAAATTTGTTAAAGGTTATCTAGAGAATGTGTCATGCAAGATACCAAAGAGCTAATGGCACATTGTTCCGCAAAAGTTTTCATTACAAGACCTGTACAAGAAAAGCATTGATGCAAAGCATCAAAGGGCGTCCAAGCAAGAAATGCAGCAAGTGAAGATATCTGATGACAAGATATTCTTATAAACTACCAGAAATGTATATATCACTTATGAATGAGCGGACGAAAGACATTGTTCATTATGAACTTTGATTGGCATGCTAGAGATTAGAATATTACTTGTTATTTCTTTATGATCGTGGTTATTAATAGCAACGGATATACATGTATACAATCATTTATAATCCATATGATCAACACGTACCACACCTTTGTAATTGTCCCTTATTATGTTATCGCTATATATTAGCGAAGACCCCCTCTTAAGGTATCTGTTCACACTTAGTAAAAATATGACACTGGTTATATTACCATGTTGATCATGTTGAGCATAATTGTTTATTATACAATAATTGTAATATCTATTAATTTTAATAAAAAAAAATACAAATTTTATGATTGTTTTCTTTTCTTTTTTGTGTTTTATGTGCTATTTTAATACTGAGTTTTTATGTTTACTACTCTTTTTTTATGAAAATTGTAAAATAAATTTTAAGAATTCAATTGTCATATTGACCGAAGATTATAAGTCAAAACTTAACTGGAAAAAGTCAGTAAATTATGGTTTATCTTTCAATATATAATATTGTTTATTCTTAAACCATGTACATGTACATTTGTATTTTTCTATTTCATTTTTTAAATTAACAATCAATTGAATAATTCATAAAATCTAATTTGTAACTTTGAATAATTCCTTGGCATCTTTACTAAACACGGATAACAAATTAAATAAAATGTTTCAAAGTTGATAATGTCATATTAATACCATAAAAATGTACTTTTTTCTCAATTATTGTACATATTTATTGTTTTAATCTCATATAGATAAAATGAAACATGCTATTGTTGTTGTTGGTGTTTTTTTTTAATTGTAACGATATCAAACATCTGCTCCAAACCCGGGAGAGACCGGACAAAAAACATGTTGTACTATTCGCCGGTCACTAGTAAATCCCGTTCAAAACAGACCGGGAGAGACCGGGAATTACCGATAGGAGTGATAAATAGATATATCTATAAATAGATTTTCGGAATATTTAGGTCATCAACTGATCATTCTAGGATACATGTACAACAATAACATACCATGATAACCCACTGTGTACTACAAAATGATCAATAAAAACCCCGGACAGCGCGATTTATTGACGGAAAAGGTTATTTCATTTGAAAATGTTTGCATTGCGAAATTCTCCAGTTCGCTATTCATTGTAACATATCGCGACATTTCATTTCATTCTTTATTAATAATCAAGCACCCTCATACCGATCGGAATGATCGGCTTTTATTATGACCGACTAAAAGGCTCGAGAAGTTGCTGTCGCCCTTTCACAAAATCTGATTTCATTCCATAAGGGCGCCGCGCTTCGGCGCGGACGCCAACAAGAAACTGTGCATTAGGGATGGGGCCAATTGGTTAAACATACTTGGCACAGGTTCACTCTGTAATCCTTCATGCCAAGTATCAAAGGTGTAGGACTTGCAGTTCTGAAGTATATAGATTTTAATTCTAATTTAATGATTATATTGATAACTGTCAATCCTAATATGATGTATATGTGTATATGAAATACATATTGCATCAGTGGATATATTTATTCGTCACAAAAATTTTGGGAATGTCAAAAAGTGCATAAATATTTGCCAAAATATGATTTTTTGAATATTATATTGTTTTTGTGATATCATTAATCAAGCAGGTACATGTTAAGAATATGATGTTATTGTAATTGTTCTATTCAGTTGTTCAATGCCTTTATCATTTATATAATGGTTTGAAATATACATTGTTAAAGTTTGATAAAGAACCTGATTACACATTTCTTTGTCATATTTTGAAACAGTCTTTTGTTATATGAATAACCTATTGTGTTAATAACAAGTATATTGTTTCATAAAAACATTTTTGATTTGGTAAGACCAAACTTTTAAACAAACAAGCAATGAGAAAAATTAATCTCAGTACCTGAACAGTACTTAATTATGCAAGATGCTTTATGAAAACTAGTTTTCAAATATTAGAACAAAGTTTGCCTGAAGAGAAGTAATTGCTGTGACACAGCGCTCTAACATTTCTGGGACAAAACAGGGAATGAATAATGACCCCCTCCCCCATAGATCACCATATTTCTCAGCTTGGGAAACCTTGACCTGATCTTTGATCCACTGATTTGATTGAGTTTTAAAGACCTTATATACCAGTGTTGTGTTTCTTATATTTACAGTAGTCATTGTAGAAGAAGTTTTCTAACTGAAAGACCTCCAACCCAGTCAAGTAGGCAAGCCAGGTAATAAAGTTAAACATGAATCTGCTGTAATAAAAGTTATTAACTTTTGCCACTTGTATATGTCCAGGACAGGTTGCATATAGGTGCAGTCTGACAAGGTTTTAAATTGTTTGATGACCTACTTTAAATTTTCATATTGGTATCCATAAAGTTGGTAATGGGCAGTTCCAAAAACTGAAGTTCATTTAAGAATTTCTGCAGATTAAGGATTAATTTTTTGAGTGTTAGTTGATGTTGTAAGTTGTCTAAAACTCCTCATAGTCATTACCTCCCTTGGCAGATTGTAATCACTGCCTTCGCAGAAGTCACATAATGATGAAAGTCACATGACATAAAGTCGAAATTCAAATGTAAATATTGACCGTTACATCATTTTTCTCTTACTGTTTTATTTTTAACTTTTCGTACCTACATTTGTTATAGTTCATCAAAAAATTATCAAAAGTGTACAAAATAATGACAAATGAATTCAAAAGCTAAAAAAATATAAAATATCAAAATATTGATAGAAATGTGTGTGATGGCAGAGATCTCTGTACTGATAAGGAGAGATCACTGCATAGGAGATTAAATTTGTCTAATTGCCAACAGTATAAAGTGTAGCTAGCCTATACATCCTGACCAGGCTCTATATAGTTGAGTGGGAGCCTCTAAGGCTCTGTAGTTACAGTTGCTGACTTTGAAACAATTGTCCTTACTGCTGTGGGTTCATATCCCACCAGAGGTTTCAGATTATTTCATGTGAGCTAGCTTGCTTATGATAGATCTGTGGTTCCACTGGTTGTGATAGTGCCTTAAATAATATTGCATGAGGTCTTCCCTTACCAGTTACATTTTATATAACCTTGAACTTCCGACTGACAGCCAAAATTCAAATTTAGCAGGGAATAATGAAATATTTACAAAATAAGATTATGCTGATGTTTAGACAAGACAACCTTTCATCACCCTGCTTTCTGTAGAGGCAATTCAACTTGCTTTTACTGTGCAAATTTAATCTTACACCATAGTAAACTAATAACAATAAACTTAAAGAATAAACAATAAAGATGTATAGTGCCAATAAACAACACAATACTTTTAAGGACAAACTATCATAAGAAAAAATCATTTTGTGTTTCAGTGTACCTAAAGAGGATGAGATGAACCGACCAGCACCAGTCCAGACCAGGAGGTCAAAGAATGTGTAGCAGTCATTCATGATTCTGATGACTTAAAAGAATATTTAAACCTAGACATAGAATAGGTATGCGAGAAACGTGTCTTGAGTTATGCTTTTGGGCACACTTAAATGGGGAAAAAAGGAAGCTATCGTATTAAACCTGCTGTTGTTAGTGGTGTAAAACTTTGCATTAACGTTATTACATTTCATGCAGCACGCCTTCAGATTCATTCTAATTTCATGAAAATTTATTTTGAAAATGTAAGTTTAAAGTAAAATTTTGTGAAGTGAACAAGGAAAGTAATCGACACATTGCAAAACAGCTCTTATAATCCGCGTAAAATACCAAAAAGAGGTCAAAATATGCAAAAATAGCCCCTTAACTGTGTTAGTAACAAAGTAGAAATATGTTGATAAATACTGCAAAAATCAGTCATAAATTGCACATAAAATACACTCGACATTGTATTAAGAGACCACTCAAGGGACTGCCAAAAAGTGGTCTCTTAATAAAGTGGTCTCTCAATAGAATTCTGGAAAATTCGAGACTTTTTATTACAAGTCATAGATATAATAACATCTTTTTTATAAAAACAAAAACTATACAATATTATGTATGTATTGCCGTTTTATAATTATTTTTATGCCTTTTTTTAAAAAAAAAGTCATCAATACTGTTTGTTTTTGATTTTTAGTAGAAATTTGTGTACAAATGTGTTTTACGCTCATAATACTGTAAACAGGTCATTTTGACCATGATACAAAGCATATTGTCTTATATTTTTAATATGTTCAACCATGATACAAAGCATATTGTCTTATATTTTTAATATGTTCATACACATCTCCTGCTGAACATACTTTAGAATCATCAGCCCGAGCTCCAGATAATTATTTATGCAATGAGTTTTAATAAACTTCTTG